GACAGAGGGCGGAAAAGATGCTGGGAGGAACTGGCTGTTCATTGCAGGCACCTCTGAGCAAGGGGATCAAAGGGATTTTAGCTGTCTAAAGTAGTTTTCTGTATTTTCCAAATTGTTTGTGATAGCCATGTATTAATTTTATAATCAGAAAAGCATGTTAACTACAAACTAGGTTAACCTGACCGTCAAATGTCAGAAGCGGCTCTCTAGCCAGCTCGGGGGAGGGAGGGCTGGAAGGAATGGCGAGGAACAAAGCTGGAAGTGTGGGGCCTGGGGCTGTGGGACCGCCCCCGGAGGGCGACTGCGGGCCCCACCCGGCACCCCCGCGGGGCGGAGCGCGCTGGCGAAACCTCGACTTCTCGGGGCCTCTTCCTCTCACCCCTTCCCTCGCCACTTCCTCCAATCGCCCCCGGCATCACGCAGTGAGTTGGACACATTATTTTTACCCAGAAAGTTTCCAAATTCGGGAACTGCACAGCCCCAAATAGTTTGCATCTGAGCTTCCGGTCGCATTCCTGGGCACGGACAGGCACGGACTGTCCACCCCGCGGTAGCTGCGCGCTCAGGCTGGGGACCCGTCGCGCTGTCCAGGAGCCACGAGGGAGGCGTGCGTGCCCGATTCCCGGAAATTCGTCTGGTTATGGAGCTGTTCGGACGACAAACGGCCCTGCAGAGATTCAAACCGACCGTTTTTAACTACAGAAGTCCCTGAAACAAAGCCAAAAGTCACGGGGGTGGAGGCGACCACGACCCCAGCTCGCTGCTGTCGGCGCGGCATGCCACGTCCCCATCCGCCGGGGGCCGGGGTCGCCTTCGTCGGGCGGTAGGACCGAGAGGCAGCTGCGCCCAGGTGCCAACGCGTCTACGGGGCACAGCTGACCCCCATCCCCCTGCCGGCAGCCCGTCTCCAGCTGTGCCCTCGGGGTCGCGGTGAAGGTTCTGGGCGTGGCCTCAGCGCCCTCGCCCAGAAACCAGGCCAGGCAGAGGATGGCGGGACTTGGCGCCTGCCTTAGTCTCCCAATTTGTAATCAGTGGATCGAACCCCCTGCGCGCCGAGTGGGTCAGGTCTCAGCCGCACGCCCTGCACCGTGGATCTCCTTCCCAGAGTCGCTTGGTCCAGCACGCACGGGAGGGTCCGGAAGGTGGGGGCGGGGAGGGAAACCAGCCTCCCATCCCTTCGCCCTCAAGCACCTGGGCGGGCAGGATGGGCTGGGGTGCGCTGCTGAGGATTCTGCCCCTGCCAACCCCACACCGACCCTGAGCCGGGAACCAGGCCGCATTTGCTGCCTCCCTTTTCGGGGGCCCCTGGAATCTACTGAGCGTGCTGCCCACAGGCGCTCCTGGGGCTCTACCTGTCTCCTCAAGGACCCCGCAGTGGCACCCCCATTGTAGGGATGGGGCAATAGGGCCAGAAACTCCTACTAATGAGGGAACAGAAGGCTAGCTGAGGACAAAGCAGAAGCTGGTATTCCCCCCCCTCTGTGTGGTATGTGTGACATTCCTCAGGCACTCCTGGCCGCCCTAAAGGAAAAACAAATGGTTAACTGATAGAGATCACAGTCCTGCAGGACAGGAGTCTCCCTCCGTTTACAAGTGTCCTAGTGATTTACAAGGAAGAAGCTTTCTCATCAATAACCTAACTTCCAAGAGACCCACAACACAGTTTCCTGAAGCCCTAACATCACCCTCCCCTCCATAATATGAAGGGAGGCTGAGGCAGGAGGAAATGTAAATAAAATTGAATTTGTTTTGAGCCTGAAGCCCATTGACAAGGACTTGTGATTGGAGGAAGGCAACACTCCTCCAGGAAACTCCCAACTGTCTTCATGTTCGTGCCTCATTAGAGGGGAAAACAACCTTGGCTTGACAACAACCAGGCCTTCAGCATCCTGGGAGTCTTTAGCATATGACAGTCCTTCTGGACACCCCCGTTGTCCTCACCTCCCCAACTCCTGAGTATGTAACCGGCCACTCCTCAAGACCACAGGGTAGCAGCTCTTCCTGCGCACGGATTCTGTCCGGTGCTTTAATAAGCCACCATTTTGCACCAAAGAGGCCTCAAGAATTCTTTCTTGGTCGTGGGCTCTGGACTCCACCCCACGGAACCTCACCTATATTCCAAAACTGCATCACTGCTTTGCCCAAGTCGACCCCAAGCCTGGCTGGCCTCGTGCACGGGCCTTCCTTCCCAGAGCGAGGACTGGGGGTACCCTGAGGCCCGGACTCAGGCCAGGAAGGGGTCGAAAGGAGCAGAGTGTGCAGGGAGAGGGGCGGAAACGGGCTGAGAGGACACATTCCCAGGGCTGAGGGAGGAGCGCTGGGGAGAATTTATCTGGAGCCGGGTTTGCCCGGCTGGGCGCTGCACCGGGGAGGCTGGTGCCCCCGGCCCCGTGAACACCCCGGGAAGGAAGTCCTGGCACTGGGCACTTGGCGAGTGCAGGGTTGGAGCAGCGGCCCAGGGTCAGGCAGGGTTGGGAGTCCCGATCCCAGGACGGCGACTGGGCGCGGACGGCGTCGGGGCTGCAAGACGCTGCCCTCCGGGGAGCGGTCGCTGGCGGCTCCCACGCGCAGCTTGGTGGGGTCTGCGGAACCGGGTTCTTCACTAGGAAGTCCCTCCCTGAGGGCCCCGGGGGACCGTGAAGAGCAGCGGGGGAGTCTGCACCTCCTGGAGGCCAACCTTCCGCGGCTGCGTGGGACCCCGAGTCTCGGCGCGCGGTGGTCTTGAGACGGCCCGAAAGGGCTCCAGGCCCTGGGGAAGCGGATTCTCCCGCAGCCCCGCCGCCAGCCCAGCTCCGCCCGGAAACCCAGAAGCCCGGGGTGCGCCCATAGCGGTCCGCGAGCGCCCTCGGGCGGCAAAACAACGAATCAGAGAAAAAGCAAGGAATCCAGGTCCCGCAGGGAGGGGACGCGCCGAGGCGTGGTTTAGCGCCGGGAAAGGGCAGAGCGGCTGGGGCGGAGCTTCCTGGGGAGAGCCGGGCCAGGCTCGCCCTTCCAGGCCTCTCCTCTGGGGACATCGGGTGCTGTAAGCAGAGAGGGACTCCAGGAGGGCCAAGGGTAGAGCTAGAGGGCAGGGAGACCAGCGAGGAGGCCAGGGCAGGAGCCCCCGGCTGGGGGTGGGGGAGTTGGGGGGTTGGAGATACGGGGCTGTTGGGTTGAACACGCCCGGGAGAGGGGGAGCCGGCGAAGATGACGCCTCGGTATTTGGCTTGGGCAGCTGCATGGGTAACCGTGCCATTCTTTGGAAGGCAAATATGCTGCTGGGGCACAGGGACAGATTGGGATCAGAACCAAGAATTCTGTTTTGAGATTTTCACTAAATTTTCAGGTGGAGCTGGAGAGATCCAGCTGCAGATGGAAATGTCAGGAAAGCAGGGAAGGGCGAGGTCACCCAGGCGGACCACGGACAGATGGAGGGAGGAGAGGCCCCAGGACTTTCGAAAACCCCTAGCTGACCCATCTTGTTGGACATTGTTTTCCCTTTACTGAGAAAACTTGCACTGCACAGAAGAGGCAAAAAGCAGACCCTAAAACTGAAGCTGTGGCAGGCCTCGAGCTGAGCCGGTGCTAAGCACAACCAGTGCTGCTCACACCCTTGCAGGAGGTTCTAGCCAGAGGAAGCTGGTCTCTCCTTTTGACCAGACCGGTCTGGCAGATTCTGGTCAGACATCCACGTTGGCAGCTCTTACAGCGGGGGGATGTCAAGCCTGAGAGGGTCTTCTGGGGTTTCTTCCAGGGACATTTCTCTGTGGCTTCAGCCTAGATCCGTTCTGTGAAGTCAACCCTCACTCCTGCACAGCGCAGCCAAGGACACCCTGAACAGACCTGCTATCAACCCAAGTAGGATGTGCTGACTAGCCATAGTCTTGCCTTTTCTAGAATATCACATCCTCAGTAAAGCCTTAAATATATAAGTGGACACAAATTCCAGCCAGTTATGTGGCCTTGAGTCAATCACAGATCCTGTCACCTTGGTCTTAAGCGGCTGATGTGGTCATCTGTCCGATCTCCTGCTGGGGAGCACCTCTGTGTCCCTCCTGAGAAGTGGCACCCAGCTCTGCCTGCAGCTGGCTCTTCCTCTCCAAAACTCATCTGCGTAGGTGGGCTTCCACCGGGCTCCTGGACGTGGTTGAGACGTGGGTGCTGGCACCCAGTGTGTGTGTGTGTGTGTGTGGGGACACTGTGGCTGGTGCCCTGGCTGAGTCTGGACTCCTGCGTGGCCTCAACCACTGCCCGTTTCGTGCTGTACATTGTTCTAGATCCGTCAGCTTTTTCTCCCCAGCAGCACAACGGGCTCCCTGAGGATGGGAATCACACCCACCCCCAGACTGCTTTCCTGAGCGCACCCGTCCGGACTGGATGCACAGAAAGCAAACCGCGGATGTCCCAAGAGCAGGGCTTCCCAGCCTGCGACCCTGCACCCCTTTCAGGCTGAAATGGGTGAGTTACACCAGTTTCCAGGAATCGTTCAGAGGACTAAATGAACAGTGTAAATGTGCGACCAGAGTTAATGAAAGCAAACGGACTAGGTGGGTCAAGGGCTGTTGGGGTTCCCCTTAGTGCCCGGGTGTCCCGCTGCAGACGGGACTCCACTTCTCAGCACGCACGGGCCCGCACGCCCCAGCTCTCTGATTCCTGTTCTCCCCCCGCTCCCCCAGGGCGTTTCTCAAAGGCACGAGGCCGTGTGGCTGACACACTGGTGTATTTCCAACATGCTTGGTATCCGTGCAGGCTGTAGCCATCCATCATTCCCCGGGATCGCAGGATGGCCGCCTGGACCACAGCGGTGACCCACACCTGCCGGGCCAAAGGCGGCGGGGCGGGGCCAGGGCGGGGCCGCGCGTCCTAGCCCCGCCCCCGCCCGGGCGCCTGCGCGGCGGGCGCAGGAGGAGCGCGGATCCCGCCCGCCCCGCTCGTGTTTCCGCCCGGGCCGCCCGCGCGCAGGACCGGCTTCCGGCCGGCCGGGCGCCGCGCGCCGCGTGGCTTCCGGCGGGCGGCGGGGTTCGCGGGAGCATGGGGAAGGTGAGGGGGCTGCGGGCCCGCGTGCACCAGGCGGCGGTGAGGCCCGCGGGGCCGGCCGCGTCCGGCCCCGCGCCCCCGACCCGGGAGGCGGCCCCTGCGCATGCCGCGGCCCGCGGGGTCGGCGCGAAGGTGAGTGGCGGGGCGGTAGGCGCCCCTGGGCGTGGGGGCCGCGCGGGGTCGGGGAGGCGGGCAGCGGGGCTGCGCAGCGGAGAGAGGCCCGGGGTCCGCCGCCGCCGCTCCGTGTGCGCGCGCGCGCGCCCGCTCGTCGGGCTGCCCTCCCTCCCGCGGGGCCGCGCTCCGCCTGCTGCTTTCGGGGTCGGTGGGGGTGCGGCCGGGGTCCCGGGGTCGGCGCCTCCCGCCGTTTGGCGGGGGGCCGATTTCCCCCGGGGCGGGCAGAGCGCCGCGGGCGTGTACCTGCTGCGCCCGGAGCCGGGGGCTGGCGAGCGGTGGCGGCCCGGAGCGCGCCGGTCGGGGGGTGGGAGCGCTGCGCACGTGGCCGCCGTGTGACCCGAGTACGCTCGGCCGCTGGCGGACTGCCGTGTGAACGCGGGGTCTGGCGCCGGTGCCCTGGCTTTCACAAAAACTCTCGAATACCATTTGCGTGTCGTAAAATTCGCTCATCTGAAGTGTGCAATTCAACGGGCATATTTAAGCATCTTCACCGAGGCGCGCAGTCGTCAGCACGAATTTCAGAACATTTTCATCGCACTGAAGAGAAGCCCTGGCGCCGAGGGCGTGGCCCCTCTTCCTGGCTAGTTAGTACCTCTGCGCCACGGAAGCTGGGGTGAGCGGGGAGGCTGCTGTTCCCAGCCTTCCCTGCGCAACAGGTGGGGGCGAGGTGGGGGAAGGGAGCCGCATCCTCTGGCTCACCTTGGACTAGAGCCCGTGGCGCATGGTGGCGGGATCGTTGGCCGCTGGGGCGCAGGAGTAGAGCTCCCAAGGGAGCTTCTGTAAGGGGGGGTTGGAGAACAGGGCAGAGCTCCTAAGCCATAGGTTCTTCGAGTTCGTGATGAAATTTGTAACCTGCTCCAGCTAAATGGTTGCTAGGACGTGGTGTGTCACACCCGTGCCTGCCCATCTGACCAGGGCTCCCGTGCAGCCCTGGTTGTCCATCCCCGGGCTGACCAGGCCAGGTGGGAGTCCCACAAGGGTAAAATCCTGCTGATCTCAGGACCGCAGCCAAATTAGAAGGAAACAGCCCTCCGTGAACGAGCGTCGGCATCAGAGTTAGATGCTGTGAGGGCAGAAAGTTGAATTATCAGACGGAGACTGTGGAATAAGAATGTCCAGAACACAGAAGAGAAGGACGCAGAAGAAAACCTTGAGGAGAGTAGGCAGACTTGGAAGAGAAGAGGGCAGAGGGGCCTCGCGGAGACGAAGCTTACAGTTGCTGGGCTCTGACGTGGAACATAGGCATTTGAACAGACCACTGGTTTTCGTCATGTGACATTGCAGACCTCAAGAGACACTCCCAGCAGCGTAGCATCAATACCTGTTACAGTTAAGTTGAAATTTGAAGCACTGAGATGTAAAGCACTCCTGTGGACAATGTCCGAATGGCCATGTGAAGAGAAGTGAGGATCGGCTGTGTGCACACCGCCCCGGGCGACCGGGGACTGCACGCTGCCCCTCCTCTCCTGTGGCTCCTCCTTGGCGGGAGGGCTCAGCTGGGGTGGCCTTCCCTGCTTGGTCCTCCCAGCTGCCTCGCATCCAGCACTGCCCCCTGTGAATTTTCTGATGTCTCTTGCTGACTGACTTTCCCTCCAACCCTGCGAGCTCCCGAGGAGCGTGAGCTTCTTGCTCAGGTGCTCTGGGCTGCAGGCACTCGGGCTGGTTTCTGCGCACCGCAGTCCTGTTTTGGTCTGTGACTCCCCTGTGGGTCGATCCTGCGGTCCCTCTGTGGCTGGGCCTAGAACGAGCCAGGTGGGTCTGGGAGGTGGGCTCTGGCTCAGGACAGTGTGATGGGCAGTGACTGGGAGGGTTTTGGAGTCTCACTGTTGGAAGGAGGCCTGGGGAGACACTGCTGAGGTGGAACCGTGGTCATGAGAGGGGAGGGTGCTGTGGGAAGGAGAAGATGGTGCAGGTTTGGGAGGAAATCTTGGTGCCTGTCCCAGTGCTTCTGGTTCATAATCACTACCTATCCTGAGTCTGGTCTAAGATGGAACCCACAACAGGAGCAAAGCCTGTTTGGTGGTTTGAGGCAGGTGGGAGGGAGTGCTGCCTTCGGTTCCCGGGGCCCTGGGCTCAGCTCTGGGGGGCGAGGGTTACCCCCCAGGCTCTCCGCGGAGCAGCTGGTCCGGCCTGGCTCATCTGGAGGGCCCGTCAGGGGCTCTCCCTGCTTCGTCACCGGCCTTGAGTTGTGCTCTGCAGCCACGGAGAAGTCTTATGTCTTCTTTGCTTCTTAGGAATGGGCTTTCACGAACACTGATGTTTTTGCTGGGACTAAGATAGACCCCAGCGCTTTGGTGCAGAAGCTGGACCCGGACACAAGGAGCGTGGCTTCCGTCAGGAGAGGTGAGAATATGTGAGGCTAAGGTCCGGGTGTTTACAGCCCTGGCCCCGGGCCAGGGCGGACGTACTCACGTGTGGGCCAGGGCAAGTTTCAGCTAACCTGTACGTGTTTCAAAGGTTTTTTTTAATCCAGTGGAAAAATTTTAAGGTGTACTAAAGTAGAAAGAATGGTGTAAAGGTACCCCGTGTACCCGTCACCTGCTTTCAACTGGATTATTTTGAAGCAAACAGTGTTTTAGTCGTAAGTCCTTTTAATATATACGTGCGGAGTTCTTAAAACATAAACGTGCGGTACCATTAACACGCCTGAATCATTTAGTAGTCCTTACCATCAGATAAGCGCACGGTGCTCACATCTTCGTGATCACCTGAAAATTTCTTTGTAGGAATCAGGGTGCTCTTGAGGCCACCCATTCTGTTGCAGCTCCTGCCCCACTTTTTCCTTCATGTCTTACGATGTGGGGCAGGTCATTTTCCCCAGTGTGCTTCCCCCCACTTGGGACTCTGCTGGTTGTTTCTCTCACGGGCTGCTGCCGGTCACCAGCACTTGTGTGCGGTGGGCTCTGGCCTGGGCAGGGCACGCCGCCGCTGCCAGCCCCACCGCCTGGGGGGAGGCCTCTGCTTCCCCGGGAGCCGCGCACTCACAGGTGAGAGCTTGGGGCGATGGGGGCGTGTGGGCCCGTGCGGGGCCGGGCTGTCTGTGCCGGTCCGTAATCCTGCTCTGCTGAGACCTGCCCATCTTTTTACCTTGCTTGAATCCTGCTCTGCCTTTCAGGCTCGAAAGTTGTAAGTAGCGGCCTTCTCGTCGTCATGCTGCTGTAAGCACTGATCTCTGCGGCCCCACAGTACTCTGTCCAGTTGACCTGCGCTTTTCTGAACTGGTCTCTTGTTGGGTAATTGTGTGGCTTCCAGGTTTTTGATACTGTTCCAGGTTGCGTCTCCTGTTTGTAAGCCATTCTTAAGTGTTGTAAGTTGTAATTATTTCACAGCTGTTATTTGTATCAAGCCCTTTGTTTCGGATTATATTTTACACCGTGCTTTGGGGTTTTTATTGTTTCATAGGGGAGATGTGCCCATCCCTGTCTCCTTGCAGTTCTTAGTACATTGAAACCTGTAGGGGAACCCACCCCTGGGTTCTTGGCCAGGAGCCTGCTAAGTAAACCAACAAAAGACAGGCGAGAGAAAAACAATGTATCTTCCGGGAGAAACCTCAGTGAGAGGTAACTGCAGGGGCTGTTGGAACCGAGGCTTCTCTGGCATCTAGCATAGAAGGCTAGAACTAGTAGGCTTCCAGGGTCACAGACAAGAAGGTAAATATAGGGGGAACTTACCCGAGGAAGGTTCGTTGGCGCCCGTACATCTAGGTGCTGATTTCCCGTCGTCTTCAAGGCCGGAAGACGTCACAGGACAGGGACCCAGGCAGACATTTTCAGAATTTTCTGCCTTTAGTCAGATAAGGGAGGCTCTGGGAGGGTTGCCTTCTGCATCTGTTGATCCCATTTGTCTCCAGCTCCAAGGATCCTCATGGCGGCCAGAGTGGCATGTTTAGGGGTAGCATGTTCTTGTCCCTCATGGACCCTCCTGCAACTGTTTCTGCGGATGCATGCTGCAAAGCGGATTGCAGCTCGGGCTGTGTCTTGCCCTGGTGTGAGTCCCTGCGCTCCTGCAGGGACCCAGGGGCTGGGGCGGGTGTGTGCGTGGAGGCCATGGGTACACAGGCTTCTTTGTTGACCAGCAGGCGGTTTTCTGCTTCTCTCAGCCTTGGATGAGAGCTTTCTGTGTTGTATAGGTTAGCTCTGCTAGGGTTTTTAAATCGCCGTGTAAGTTACTCTTTCAGAGAGCTGACAGAGGCTGTCTCTGGCAGCGTCCCCCTTCTGCGTGCCATCCTGTGGCCTCTCCCCTGCTCCTCCTGCCTCCCTGGTGGCTGTGGGGCTGTTTGCCTTCTGCCCATGGGACGGGCTCTGGCATACTGGTCTGGGCCCGGTCTGGCCCCCACAGGCTGAGCCCTCCACGGGGTGGGCATCTGCAGGGTTCGCGGGCCGCCAGCTGGGAGATGGGACGGCTTGGCGTGTGCTCTCACCTTCTCGTGTGCTCCTCACGGTCGTCCTTCCGCGTGAGCATCCCGTCTGTGGCTAACAGCTGGAGCGGTGCAGCCCGAGGCAGCAGGGGTGCTCAGCCTGGAGCGACTGAGCCCATCCAGACCCGTTGCCGTGGTGATGTGTGCTGGGCACTTGTCCCCTCCATCCAGGGGCGTGGTGGAGGTAACTGGTGTGTGGCTTTTGTTCCTGTGTCAGCTGACACACAGCTCTCAGTGGCAGCCCTGTCCGTGGAAGTGCGCAGATTCCCACTTACCTAAGAGGGTGAGCCCCTGCAGGGGAGAGGTCGGCTGTGCTGTCCATGGGCGCCGGGGACCCTAGTCCTGTGCCCGCCTCTGGCCTGCCTGTAGTGGAGTCTCTGTGAGGGGCTGGCTTCAGGTGAGGACCCAGGGCAAAGAGCGGGTGAAGCCGTCTGTGCTTCGGTGTCCCTGGACAGTCTGGAGGGAGTGGAGGGGACAGAGCCTTCGTGTGCAGTTGTGGGTCCTGCGTCGGACCACTGGTGATACAGTGTTGGGTCTGCTGGTGTTTGCTGGAGTTTGGAGCATCTCTTTAACTTCGGCTGTCAGGTGAGCGCGGCATCTGCTGGGCAGGTGTGCCACGTGGCCTGCCTGGGAGTTTTCTGGGGCTCCTCTGGCCGTGCTGGCCAGGCAGTGCTCCCATGTCTGTGAGGGGCTGGTGTACTTTGTCCCCCTTCACGGATGGAGGTGAACTGGCGGTGTAGGGGCTGGACCCTCCCTTTGCTGAGCTCAGTGGGAGTGACAGCAGGGCCTCCCTCTGCCACTGTTCCCTGCAGGGCACGGTCACAGTCAGCTCTCCCCACTACGTCTCCCCTCCCCTCCCCATCTCCTGTGCAGAGAGCGCTGCTGAGGCTGTGCGCCTCCCGTAGGGTGGTCCCCAGCCAGCACCAGCATCACTGGGACCCCACCCAGACCTGCTGAACTTTGTTGCCACCACCCTCCAGTGGTCTTTGTTGCTGCCACATCAGGATACGGGGCAGGAGCCTAGCGGGGCCTGTTTGGCAGCTACAGGAGTACAGAAACCTCTCCCATTTTTTCTCGGATCCTCTTGAAGATCCTAGACCCCAGCCCGGTTCTCTGGGTTCTTAGCTCTGCAAGACCACGTCCTTCCTGACCTGATTGGGTCCTAGCAGCCACTGCAGTCCTGTGGGAGCCCCCGGAGTGGAGCACCTTGGTGCATCAGCCGCTCTGCCAGCAGATCTGGGGCCTCGCACTCGTGTCTCTGCTCAGTGGGCAGAACTCAGTTACCTCTTGCCTTCACATCGTCTGAGGCGTGTTTTGGTGAAGGTGGGTTAGTAGATGGGAAGTGTTGGACACGGTGCTTGATTTTCGTCAGCACCCGGTTGGGGCTACAGAAGCCGCGGCCCCTTCCCTGCTGGCTTGACGTGTCCAGACAGCTCAGGTGTTGGGGCTTCGGCCTTCCCCCCATGCTGTGCCTCCCTCTCGGCCAACAGCTCTTCCATCTTGGCCCTTGTCACCTCCCGCCGGGCCAGTGCCCTGGGTCCTACAGGAGACGTCGCACTTTGTGGCTTCCCAGGTTTGAGCGAGGGCTGGTGGCCTGGGACAGGTCCTGTGGAAGGTGGTATCTGAGGACTCAGCTGCTGCTCAATCATCCGCTGGGCCATGAAGGCAAGGGTGCCTGTCGGCCTGGATTAGCACGGACATGGCCCTCCCAGAGTCCTTGCCCTGGGCGGAGTCACAGAACTGCCTCCCTCTCGCCGCTGTACCGTGCCACACAGCGGGTACGGTTGGGGGGCCCCTGGCCCGTCGTACGTCCCCGCCACGTGCACGTGTGTGGCTCCCCTGACCCAACATGCACACATGTGCTCCTTCCCTGTGTCAACTTGTGCTCACGCCCAAGGGGCCTGTTTGACCTTGTGGGTCCTTTGCTGCTGGCATCTTTCTTCCCTGAGTCTGTACAGAGCCTTTGGGAATCCTGCTGGCCTGTGAGCCAAGTCTGCCTCCTTGGTCCCACCTTCTGATTCCAGTCCGTGGGGGCTGCTGGACTCTGTGCGGTGGGTTGTGGGGCTCCTGTGGCCCTGTAGCTTCACCTCCCACCCTGGGGGCAGGAGGCTGTGGTGTGGAGCCAAAGGTCGCCCCCAGTTCCCTCTGCAGACGCCCCTCCCACCCCCAGCAGCAGAACTCGGCTCTGCCTCGAGGGTCAGGGTCTGTGGGCTCATGGACCTGTATGTGAAGTGGCTTTGAAGCTCCTCTGCATCAGTCTGGGAGGGCACACGGCCGGTCCAGGGTGAGTATGTGGCTTCTGTGTCTTTCCCCTGCACGGGACACCGCTCTGCCGGTGCTGGGTGTCTAGTTCTGTACCCGTCTGTGCTGGAAAGTTGCAGATAACAAGCTCGGTCTGTCGTCAGTCCTCAGTGGGCCAGTACTCAGTCCTGTGGCCTGGGCTGGGCAGTGGCTGGCCCCTGGACTCAAGCCCAGAGAAGCAGGCACGTGAGGGCAGGCCTGGAGAGGACAGGCCCGGTTAGGGAGGGAGTCCCTAGGGATGACCAAAGAGCATGGCCAGTGTGCTGGGCGGTGTGGAGGCTGCCAGGAGGTGCTCTGGGGGCCAACTAGGCTGTGGCCGAGAGGGTAGGGAGGTGGCGGTGGTGAGCGGCCCAGGCCGGCCTCCAGGCCGCAGGGACTCCGGGAACAGAGCGTGGGGGCCTGCCCTCCTCGGCCCCCGGCTCCAGGGCTGGACTGTGACCTTCAGCTTCAGTCTGGAGCAGCTGCAGGTGTGCAGTGTGTTCAGCAGAGGGCGGCAAAGCTGCGTCTCCCTGGAGGCCAAGCCTGGCTTTGGAGAGGCCGGCCCTGCCTTAAGGAGAGGAGCTCGGCAGCACGGATTCCGAGGGCTTTGTGGCGGTTGTCTTCAGGGATTTTGTAAAGCTCTGCC